ATTTTTTACAAAAAAACCACATAAAAACGAGAAAAAAAAGCCGATTAAACGCCGTCAGTTGAATGTTTGAGGTTTTTTTTTTCTTTGCCGGTACCCCTGGTTCTTTTTTTCCCTCAAGTTTTTTGGGAATTCTGATTCCCGCCTTACCCAACATTCCCGGGCGTTCTCCGCAGGCCGTGGTGCTTCCTCGTCCAAATCTGAGTTTTCCACCCCAAAATAAAAAAACAAAAAACTCCACACGTGCAAATGTTACCAAAGTCAAATAAAAGAGAATAAACGATGCGATATTGGATTTTATTCCGGGTTTTTTTTTCTTCAGTCTTTCTCTGGGGATTTGGGATTGTGGGGTGGAACCGGCCTGGACAGGTTTGGTGTTGGAAATGGGATTTTTGAGGGAAAGATGCTCAATTTTGAGGGGAAAATGTTCATTTGTGAGGGGAAAATTATCATTTTTGTGGGAAAAATGCTAATTATTGAAGGAAAGTGCTAATTTTTGGAGGGAAAATGCTGATTTGTGAGGGAAAACTGCTGATTTCTGTGGAGGAAAAGTGTTCATTTTTGAGGGAAAACCACTCCTTTCTGAGGGGAAAATTATCATTTTTGAGGGAAAAATGCTCATGTCTGAGGGGAAAATTATCATTTTTGTGGGGAAAATGCTAATTCTTGAAGAGAAAGTGCTAATTTTTGGAGGGAGAATGCTGATTTTTGAGGGGAAAATGCTCATTTTTTGAGGAGAAAATGCTCATTTCTAAGGGGAAAATGTTAATTTTTGTGGGGAAAATGCTCATTTTTGAGGGGAAATGGTGATTTTTAGGGGAAAAACCCCCAAATTTTGAAGGGAATAACCCTCAATATTAAGGAAAACCACCCCTCATTTTGAGGGAAAATATTGAGGGAAAAAAACGCGTTTTGAGGTAAAACCCCTGTATTTTACAGGAGTAAAAATCTCATTTTGTAGGAAAGACTCCCTCTTTTTAAGGGAAAAATCCTAATTTTAGGCTTTTAAATCAGTTTTCCGCTTGGAGGCGGGAGTCAAAAGTTTTCCCAATCCACAGCAGGGATTTAAAAACCGCCGAGACGCGCGGGAGGTTTATTTAATTTTTTTATTTTGTATCTTTTACGCTACAATATAAAAATATTTTATATTTTTACTTGAAAGGAAAGTCTCCGGAGGAGCTTGGGATTGCAACAAAATTACTGTTAAAGGCTTGGATAAGCGGAAATTGACGAAAAAAAAATGTGGTGTTTTTATTTCCAATAAATTTGAGGCGGGGAGGGAGCGAACCCCGCGGCGGCGCAAAATGGCGGCCGGCGGCCGGCCTACAACTCCCATGATGTCCCAACAACGAGGAACTACAATTCCCGTCGTGCCTCGCGCTGCGGTGGGCGTGGCCTGAGAGCTTCCCTATAAATAGGCCCCACCGGCCCGAGCGCGCCCCTCTCGGCCGCCGCCATCTTGGTGCCTTCCTCGGCCGCCGGCTCCATCCGCCGCCATCCGCCTCCATCCGCCATCCCCCGCCCGCCGGGACTGAGCGGGACCCCGTAGAACCGCCATGAGGGCCAAGGTGAGCGGCGGGGGGCGGCGCCGGGGCGGCCGATGGCGCCTCAGGAGCGGCCGGGCTTGCATGGAGGGGATGGGGGGAGGCTGCGGCCTGGATGAGCCCCGGGGGCGGTGAGGGGAACCGGGGAACGGGAGGGGTCCCTGGGTTAGAGAACGGGAGGTCCCGGTGAGGGGAACCGGGGAACGGAGGGGAATCCCTGGGTTAGAGAACGGGGGGGTCCCGGTGAGGGGAACCGGGAAACGGGAGGGGTCCCAGTGTAGGGTTGGGGGATCTATGGGGGTGTCTCTGCTGGAGGAAATGTGAGGGGAAACTGGGAGAACTGGGAGAGAGAAGCCGATGTGGGACTGGGGGGAACTGGAGGCACTGGGGGGAGCTGAACCAGTTTGGGACTGGGAGTAGTGAGAGACAAACCAGTCCGGAACTGCGGCAGTGAGAGTTAAACCGGTCTGCAACTGGGGTTACTGGGAGGGAGAAACCAGTCTGGGACTGGGTCGCTGGGGAACCAAACTGGTGTGGGACTGGGCGCACTGAGGGAAATAAACCGGTACAGAACCGGGGACACTGGTGGGAACTGGGAGCACTGGGAAAAAAGTAAACCAGTGTGGCACTGGGAGAGCCAAACCAGTGGGACTGGGAGAAATAAACCAGTACGGGACTGGTGGGGACTGGGGACACTGGAGGGAATAAACCAGTACGGGACTGGGGGCACGGGGGAAACCGGGGAGCAGTGGTTGCACTGGGAGTACTGGGATCATAAGTGGGTACTAGGGGGCACTGGGAGCACTGGTGGGCACTGGGAGCACTGGGGGAGGATTAGTGGATACTGGGGGACACTGGGAGCACTGGTGGGCACCGGGGAGCAATGGCTGCACTGGGAGTACTGGGGGGGCGCAGGTGGGCACTGGTGGGTACTGGTTACACTGATGGGTACTGGGAGCACTGGGGGGCACTGGTGGGTACTGGGATTATTGGGGGGCACTGGTTGCACTGGGAGTTCCGGTGTCACAGGTGGGCACTGGGGGGCATTGGGTACTGGTTCTACTGGAGGGCACTGGGACCACAGGTGGGCCCTGAGAGCACTGGTTGTACTGGGAGGCACTGGGAGCATAGGTGGGCACTGGTGGGCACTGGTTACACAGGTGGGCACTGGTTACACAGGTGGGCACTGGTTATACTGGGGCATACTGGTTATATTGGTGGGCACTGGTTACACTGGTGGGCACTGGTTATACTGGGACATACTGGTTACACTGGTGGGCACTGGTTATACTGGGACATACTGGTTACACTGGTGGGCACTGGTTATACTGGGGCATACCGGTTATATTGGTGGGCACTGGTTTGTACTGGTGGCGCTGGGATCGCTGCCCTCTCTCACTCCCTCCCCTCTCTCTCTCCCCGCAGTGGCGCAAGAAGCGAATGCGCAGGTACGTGAGAGCTGCGGGCCGGCCCCTCCGCACCGGGGGGGGCTCCCGGTGCCTCCCAGCCCCGGTGCCCCCCCCCGGTTCCCTCCCGGTGCCCCCCCGGGGTGGTGACACCGCCCCCGCTCTGTCCGCAGGCTGAAGCGCAAGAGGAGGAAGATGAGGCAGAGGTCCAAGTAACGGCCCCCAGCGCGGGGACGCGCCCCGGTCCGCCCGGTGCCCCCTCCCGGTGCCGGCCCGGTGCTGTCCCGGTGCCGCGGGGGGGCCCCGCCGGGCCGGCCCGTTCTTTGCTTTGCGGCGGCCGCCGTGCCGTGAATAAAAGCTGTTGTTGCTTACACGTGTGGGGGCTCTGTCGGTGACCCGGGCGGGGGGCGGGTCGGAGTTTCGCCGGTAACCGGGGAGCAGCGTGGAGGTCCCGCCGGTAACGGGGCTGGAGATGGAACCGGGGATCCACCGGTAACGGGGCTGGGGGGACTTCAAAAAACAAGAGACGGTGAGAACCGGGGGTTTCTTCAGTGTGGCCGGGGAGCGGCACCGGGAATCCTCCGGTAACGGGGCAGGGCGGTGAGACCGGGGAGGAGAATTCCCCGGGAGCAGAGCGACAGCGTTGATACCTCCGGTAACGGAGCGGGGTGAGGAATCCTCGGTAACGGCGCCGTGAGCAGGCCCGGGCTCGCTCCGAGCCCACCGGGCCCGGGAAGTTCCGGGATCACCCACTCCGTAACGGCGCGACGACGTCTCCCGCCGATGACGTCACGGCGTGACGCATTTCCGGCGCGCCGCGCGCTCCCGGCTCCTTCCGGGCCGCCCCGGAAGCGGCACCGAGCGGGTCCCGCCCGCCGCCGGCACCGGCCGCGCGTTGGTGGCGCCGGAGGCCCCGCGGGGAGGCCGCGAGCCGGTGAGTGCCGGGCCGGGCGGGGGAGGCCGCGCTCCGCCCTCCGCCAGGCCCCGCCGCTCCCGGTGCGCTCCGTGCCCGTCCCGGTGCGGCTCGCGGGGCTGTCACGGGACGCGCCGGGGTTTCCCCCGCGGTTCGGCCGTGCTGGCGGGCACCGGGGTTGCGGAGGGGGATCCCCGGCCGTGCTGCCCCGGTACCGGCCCCGCCGCAACCTCGGTGCCCCCCGGTATCCTCCCGTTCCTCCCTTCTGCCCTTCCCGCCGGTACCGGGGGCACTCCCGGTCCTTCCCTCTCTCCCTCCCTTCCGTGCTCGCGGGGCCCCTCCCGGTCCCTCCCTCGGTGCCCGGGGCTGGGTGAATCCCCCTCTCCCCCCTTCCCGGTGTCCCTCCCGGTTCTTCCTTCATCCCCTTCCTCCTCCTCATCCCCTTCCTGCTCCGTCCCTCCCTCCCGGTGCCCCGGGGTGGGATTTGCCCCATTCCCGGTCGCTCCCTCCCTCACCCCGTCCCTCCCTGTGATCTGGGGTGCGACTCCCCCCATTCCCCGTCCCTCCCTCAGGTGACCCCTCCCGGTACCCCGGGGTGGGTGTGAACCCTCTCCCCATCAGCACCGGGGTCACTCCCGGTCCCTCCCTCCCTCTCTCCCTCCCGGTACCCCGGGGTGGCACTCGTCCCATCCCCTGTCCCCCATTCCTGGTCTCTCCTTCCTTCAGTGACCCCTTGGGGTGGGACTCCCCCCATTCCTTCCCTCCCTCACCCCGTCCCTCCCTCTCTCTTTGTGCCCTGGGGTTTGAGTCCCCCCATTTCTGCTCCTTCCCTCCCTCACCCCGTCCCCCTCCCTTCTCTGGTGACCCCTCAGCGTGGGATTTACCCCATTCCCTGTCCCTCCCTCCGTCCCCCTGTCCCCCCATCCCTCCTGGTGACCCCTCAGGCTGGGACTCCCCCATTCTTGATGCCTCTCCTGTTCCCTCTCTCCCTCCCTCCCTCCCCCCATCCCTCCCTCCTCCAGTGACCCCTCTGGGTGCCCTGGGGTGGCATTTGCCCCATTCCCTGTCCCTCCCTCTCTCCTGGTGACCCCTCGGGCTGGCGCTCCCCCGTCCCTGACCGCTCCCTCGCCGTCCGCAGCCCTCGCGGTGCCCGCGCCATGCCGGACCGGGACGGTTACCCCGCCGGCACCGGCGCCGGCCCCGGCGGCGTCAGCAGCGGCGACGAATCCTCGTCCGCCCTCCCCGACGACGACATCTGCCGCGACTTCCTGCGCAACGTCTGCAAGCGCGGCAAGCGCTGCCGCTTCCGGCACCCCGACATCTCCGAGGTCACCAACCTGGGCGTGCGCAAGAACGAGTTCATCTTCTGCCACGACTTCCAGAACAAGGAGTGCGTGCGCCTCAACTGCCGCTTCATCCACGGCACCAAGGAGGACGAGGACTGCTACAAGAAAACCGGCGAGCTGCCGCCGCGCCTGCGCCAGAAAGTGGCGGCCGGGCTGGGGCTGTCGCCGGCGGATCTGCCCAACAGCAAAGAGGAGGTGCCGATCTGCAGGGATTTCCTCAAGGGGGACTGCCAGCGCGGCGCCAAGTGTAAATTCCAGCATTTGCAGCGGGATTACGAGTACGAGGCGCGGGGGAGGGAGCAGGGCCGGCGCTACGAGCCCTTCGACGGCCTCTACGAGCCCGACGAGCCGGTGCTGAAGCGGCGCCGAGCCGAGGGGCTCTACGAGAGCTACGAGTACGGCTTCGCCAGCCCGCGCGCCGTGGAGTACCGGCTGCTGGAGGAGGAGAACGTGCTGCTCAGGAAACGCGTGGAGGACCTCAAGAAGCAGGTCAACAACCTGCTGGCCACCAACGAGGTGCTGCTGGAGCAGAACGCCCAGTTCCGCAACCAGGCCAAGGTGATGACGCTGAGCTCCACGGCCACGGCCAGCGAGCAGCCGCTGGCGCCCACGGTGACCAACTACAACCACAGCATCGCCCAGACTCACACCACGCTCAGCAGCCAGGCCCTGCAGCCCCGCCCGGTCACCCAGCAGGATTTGGTGGCGCCGGCGGGCGCTCAGGCCGCGCCTCCCGCCAACGGGGCCCCGTTGAACCCCGAGATCGCGCCGCTGTCGGCGGCGGCGGCGCTGGCGCAGACCATCGCGCAGGGCATGGCGCCGCCGCCCGTGTCCATGGCGCCCGTGGCCGTGTCGGTGGCGCCGGTGGCCGTGAGCATGGCGCAGCCGCTCGGCGGCATCACCATGAGCCACGCCACCACGCCCATGGTCACCTACCCCATCGCCTCGCAGAGCATGAGGATAACGGCCATGCCGCACTGACCGCGCCCCCGGTACCGGCGGGAGGCTCGCGGTGAACCCGGGGGTGGCGGGATGAGGATGGACGGACACACGGACGGACGCACGGACGGTGTGGGATGTGCCGCCCCCCTCATCCCGGTGCGACCCCCGGAACCAGGGGGTGGCGGGATGAGGACGGACGGACGCACGGACGGTGTGGGATGTGCGACCCCTCCCATATCCCGGTGGGCGGACTGAGCACCGGGAGTGGGTGGTACCGGAGGTGGTACCGGGTGGTACCTGTAATGTTTTCGGCTATTAAAATAACAAAAAAAAAGCCCAAAACCGCGCGGGACGGGCTGTGCCGGTAGCGGCGGGGAGCGGGTGGGACACCGGAACGGGAAACCGGGACTGGAACCGGGAAACCGCGGTGGGGAAACCGGGACCGGGATGGGGCACGCAGGGCCGTGACATGGCCACGCCCCTCGCATAAACCACGCCCATCACATAGACCACGCCCACTTAGTAAATAAAGGCGTGGTCAAGCTGCTTGAGCGCGGGGGCGTGGCCAAGAATTGGCGGCCGTCCATGATTGATGCATGAGGGCGTGGCCAGGGCGCGGCGCTCAGTGGGCGGGGCCAGCAGCTGGCAGGCGTCCAATGGGCGGTCCGTGCGTGTTTGTGTGGGGGCGTGTCCTGGGCCGCGCCTCTCAGCCAATCAGCGCCGCGTGCGTGCGCGGGGCGCGGCCGGGGCGGCGCCGCGGCGGGAGCGGAACGGGAGCGCGGAGCGGCAGCGATGGAGCGGCGGAGCGGGCTCGGGCTGGCGGCTCTGGGCGCTCTGGGCCGGCGGCTGCTCTGGGCGCTGCCCGCTTACGCCGCGGGGCTGCTGGGGCTCGGTGCGGGCGCCGTGGTGCTCGCCCTGGCGCTCTACGCGGGCTGGCGGCGGCGGCGGCGCGCCCGAGAGCGCGGGATGCGCGCGGCCGAGCGCCTGCACCGTGAGGAAGAGGCGGCGGTGCGCGCCGCCGCCCGCGGGGAGCTGCCGGCCTGGGTAAGGTGCTCCCGAGCCGTTACCGGAGCTGCGGCGCCGCTATCGCCGCGGGGGAAGCCCCGGCGGGATCCCCGCACCGGGCACCGCCTTCCTCCCCTCCCCGCCGCCCTCTCGGTGGGAGTTTGGGAACCGCTCCCGGTGGGACCCCCGGGATTCCCGAGGCTCTCCCGGTTCTGCCGCGCCGCTGGAGTTTCCCGCACTTCCCGGGGGGGTCCCGGTTCTCCGCTCCGCTGCGGGTCACGCTTGGCGCACCGGGGGATCCCCCCAGCCCCGCGCACCCCCCGGGACCCCCGGGAGCTCCCACAGCCGCACCGGAGCTGTCCCGGCACGGGGGACCCCGCGGCACCGCACGGTCCCCGGTGGGACCCCCGGGCTGTGCCGCGCATCCCGCACCGCTCCCGTTCCCCCGGTCCCGGTCCCGCTTCTCTCCGCACCGCTCGGGACCCCCGGAACCCCCCGGGCATCCCCCGGTGCTGTTCCCCAGCCCTTCCTTGCGTTTCCCGGTGGGGCGGGGCCGCACCGGGACCCCCCGGGATCACCGGGATCCCCCATCCCCATCCATCCCCCGGTGTTCGCCGCAGGGCGCGGTCCCCGCGCTCCGCTGCCCGGTACCGCCCCGGGGCAGCCCCGGTACCGCCCGGGCCTTCCGGCAGTGCCGTGACTCACCGGGCCCGGGGGGGGCCGCTTCCTGCCCGGCCCCGCGGGGCTGGGAGGGGTCCGCACCCCCCCCCCCGCACCGGGACCCCCATTTTGGGGAGGAGTTGGGGGTGACGGGAGTCGGGGAAACTGAGGCACGGGCGGGAAGGGCCCGGTGGTCCCCGGTGGTTCCCGGTGCCCCCCCGGGCTCAGGGCCCCTCCCGCTGTCCCCCCAGGTCAGCTTCCCGGATGTGGAGCGGGCGGAATGGCTCAACAAGGTGAGGAGTCCGTGTGTCCGGGAGTCCGTGTGTCCGTATGTCCGTGTGTCCGTGTGTCCGTGTGTCCGTATGTCCGTGCATCCGGGAGTCCGTGTGTCCGTATGTCCGTATGTCCGTATGTCCGTGTGTCCGGCCCGCGCCCCGCCGCTCCCGCGTCCCTCCGTCCATCCCTCCCGCATCCCTCTGTCCCTCCTGCGTCTCTCCCTCCCTCCCTCCCTCCCTCAATCCTTCCGTCCCTCCTCCATCGCTCCTCCGTCCCTCCGTCCCTCCTCAATCCTTCCCTCGCTCCTCTGTCCCTCCTTCGTCCCTCCCTCCCTCCTCTATCCCACATCCTTCCCTCCCTCCTGGCCTTTTTCCTTCCTTCCTTCCTTCCTTCCTTCCTTCCTTCCTTCCTTCCTTCCTTCCTTCCTTCCTCCCTCCCTCCCTCCCTCCCTCCGTGGCCCCATGTCCATGTCCATCTGTCCAGCCCCGTGTCTGTGTGTCCATGTGTCCATCCCGGTGTCCATGTGTCCATCCCCATGTCCGTCTGTCCCTCAGGTCCTGGCGCAGGCCTGGCCGTTCCTGGGGCAGTATCTGGAGAAGCTCCTGCAGGACTCTGTGTGTCTGTGTCCGTGTGTCCGTTCCCGTGTCCGTGTGTCCATCCCCGTGTCCATCTGTCCGTCTGTCCGGCAGGTCCTGGCGCAGGCCTGGCCGTTCCTGGGTCAGTATCTTGAGAAGCTTCTCACGGACTCGGTGGCCCCATGTCCATGTCCATCTGTCCAGCCCCGTGTCTGTGTGTCCGTGTGTCCATTCCCATGTCCGTGTGTCCATCCCCATGTCCGTCTGTCCGGCAGGTCCTGGCGCAGGCCTGGCCGTTCCTGGGTCAGTATCTTGAGAAGCTTCTCACGGACTCGGTGGCCCCATGTCCATGTCCATCTGTCCAGCCCCGTGTCTGTGTGTCCGTGTGCCCATCCCCGTGTCCGTGTGTCCATCCCCATGTCCATCTGTCCAGCCCCGTGTCTGTGTGTCCGTGTGTCCATCCCCGTGTCCCTGTGTCCATCCCCGTGTCCATCTGTCTGTCTGTCCATCAGGTCCTGGCGCAGGCCTGGCCGTTCCTCGATCAGTATCTCGAGAAGCTCCTCACGGACTCGGTGTCTGTGTGTCTGTGTTTCAATGTCCGTGTGTCCATCCCCGTGTCCGTGTGTCCGTCCCCGTGTCCATCTGTCCGTCTGTCCGGCAGGTCCTGGCGCAGGCCTGGCCGTTCCTGGGCCAGTATCTCGAGAAGCTCCTCACGGACTCGGTGGCCCCGGCCATCCGCGCCTCCAGCCCCCACCTGCAGAGCTTCACCTTCACCAGGGTGGACCTGGGACAGAAGGTGACACTGGGGGGGCTCCCCGGGACCCCCCAAAATCTCCCCTAAACCCCCCCCGATCCCCTGAGACCCCCCAAAATCACCTCTGAACACCCCGGGACCCCAGAATCACCTCTGAACCCCCCCACAAACCCTCCAGGACCCCCCAAAATCACCCCTAAACCCCCCCCCGATCCCCCGAGACCCCCCAAAATCACCCCTAAACGCCCCTCGATCCCCCGAGACCCCCCAAAATCACCCCTAAACCCCCCCCCGATCCCCCGAGACCCCCCAAAATCACCCCTAAACCCCCCTCGATCCCCCGAGACCCCCCAAAATCACCCCTAAACCCCCCGGGACCCCAGAATCACTTCTGAACCTCCCCCATACCGCCCTAAACGCCCCAAGACCCCCAAGATCGCCTCTAAACCCCCAGGACCCCCCAAAATCCCCCCTAAACCCCTTGGGACCCCCAGAATCTCATCTAAACTCCCCAAGCCCCTCCACACTCCCCTGTTGTTCCCTCAGGACCCCCCAAAATACCCCATAAACCCCTACCAGGACCCCCCCCAGGACCCCCATAAATCCCCCTAAACCCCTCCCAGGATCCCCTAAATTGGCCCAGAGCCCCCCAGGACCCCCTAAAACCCCCCCAGACCCCCTCTAACCCCCTCCAAGACCCCCTAAATCCCCTCAAACCCCCCCCCCCCCCCAAGACCCCTAAACTCCCTCCCAGGACCCTCTAAACTCCCCCAGACCCCCTAAATCCCTCCCAGACCCCCCAGGAACCCCAAAATCCCCCCTAAACACCTCCCAGGACCCCCTAAACCACCCCAGACCCCCTCCCTAAATCCCCCCAGACCCTCCCAGGACCCCCTAAACCCCCCAGGATCCCCTAAACCCCCCTAAATCCCCTCCCAGGACCCCCTAAATCCCCTATAACTCCTCCTAGGACCCCCTAAACCCCTCCTAGGACCCCATAAAATCCCCCCTTAAGACCCCTAGGAACCCCTAAACACCCCCAGACCCCCTCTAATTCCCCCCAGGACCCCCTAAATCCCCTGACCCCTCCCCAAAATCCCAACCCCCCCCCCCACCCACAGCCCCTCCGTGTGCTGGGGGTCCAAGCCCACCCCGGAACCCACAAGAAGCAAATCCTGCTGGACCTCAACATCAGGTGAGCGACTTTGTGGGGGGGGGGGGGGGGGGGGTCCCCAAAATGAGGAGGGGTCCAGGGGGGCCGTGGTGACGCCCCCCACCCCAATTTGTGCCCCCCTCCAGTTACGTGGGCGACGTCCAGATCGATGTGGAGGTGAAGAAATTCTTCTGCAAGGCGGGGGTGAAGGGGATGCAGGTGAGGTTTTATTTTGGGGAGGGGGATTTTGGGGGGGTTTTGGGGGGTTCTGAGGGGGGTCCCGGCTCATCGTGACCCCTCCCCAGCTGCACGGGGTGCTCAGGATCATCCTGGAGCCGCTGCTGGGGGATGTGCCCATCGTGGGGGCGCTCAGCATGTTCTTCATCCGCCGCCCGGTGAGTCCGCAACGGGACCCCCGCCCCAAAAAAAGGGATGGGAGCCCCCCCAGGGCATGGCAGGGGTGGACCCCACCCCAAAATAAAGGTCCAGAACCCCTCCTCAACACACATTGGGGACCCACCCTCAAAAACAGGACCCCAGACCCTTCCAGGACACAGCGGGGGTGGACCCCACCCCAAAAAAAGGGAGCAGAACCCCCCCAGGACATGCAGGGATGTCCCCCAACCCAAAAAAAGGACCCCAGACCCCTCTAGGACACACTGGGGGTGGATACCACCCCAAAAAAAGGGAATGGGAACCCCCCCAGGGCATGGCAGGGGTGGACCCCACCCCAAAATAAAGATCCAGAATCCCTCCCCAATACACATTGGGGACCCACCCCCAAAAAAAGGACCCCAGACCCTCCCCAAGATACAGTGAGGGTGGACCCCACCCCAAAAAAAGGGAATGGGAACCCCCCCCCAGGACATGGAACCCCCCCCCAGGGCATGGCAGGGGTGACCCCCACCCCAAAATAAAGATCCAGAACCCCTCCCCAGTACACATTGGGGACCCACCCCCAAAAAAAGGACCCCAGACCCTTCCAGGACACAGCAGGGACCCCCACCCCCCCAAAAAAAAGGATCAGAATTCCCCCAGGACATGGCAGGGGTGGACCCCAACCCAAAATGGTTACGAAGCCCCCTCAGGACACAGCGGGGGTGGACCCCACCCCAAAATAGGGACAGAACCCCCCCCCCCCCCCCCCAGGATACAGTGAGGATTCCCACCCCAAAAAAAGGACCCCAGACCCCTCTAGGACACACTGAGGATCCCCCCCCCCAAAAGAAAAGGGAGCAGGAACCCCCCCAGGACATGGCAGGGGTGACCCCCACCCCAAAATAAAGGACCAGAACCTCCCCAGGGCACAGGGAGGATTCGCCCCCCCCCCAAAAAAAAAAAAAAAAGGTCTGGGACCCCCTCAGGACACAGCAGGGGAGGACCCCACCCCAAAAAAGGGAGTGGGACCCCCTCCCCCCCCCCCCAGTACATGGCAGGTGGACCCCAACCCAAAAATAGGAGCAGGAACTCCCCCAGGACACAGTGAGGATTCCCATCCCACCCCCCAAAAAAAGGAATGGGAACCCCCCCGGGACACGGCAGGGGGGGACCCCACCCCAAAAAAAGGTCCAGAATGCCCCCCCCAATACACATCTGGGATACCCCCCCCCAAAAAAAGGACCCCAGACCCCCCCTCCCCACAAAAAAGGACCCCAGAACACATTGGAGGAACCCCCCCCCCCCCCAAAAAAAGGACTGGACCCCCCCCAAAAATTATCCCAGACCCCCCCCCCCCAAAACGAACACCAGGAGTGCCCCCCCCCCCATTGCAGACGCTGGACATCAACTGGACAGGAATGACCAACCTGCTGGACATCCCGGGGCTCAGGTGAGCCCCCCCTTTTTGGGGACCCCCCCCCTTTTTGGGGACCCCCCCCTTTTTGGGGACCCCCCTGACCGTGTGCCCCCACCATGGGGAATGGGGGGAGAAAAGGGGGCGAAAATGGGAGAAAATGGGGGGAAATGAGGGGGGAAATGGGGGTTAAAAAGTGGGGGAATGGGGAAAATGGGGGGGGGGGGAAATGTGGGGGAAAAAAGGGGGGAAAATGGGGGTGAAAAGGGGGGGGGAATGGGGGGGGGAAATGGGGGAAAGGAGGAGAAAAAATTGAGGGAAAAATGGGAGAAAGGAGGAGAAAAAAGGGGAGAAAGGAGAAAAAGGGGGAGAAAAGAGGAGAAAAATGGAAGACAGGAGGAGAAAAAAAGGGGAGAAAGGAGGAGAAAAAAGGGAGAAAGGAGGAGAAAAAAGGGAAGAAAGGAGGAGAAAAAAGGGAAAAGAGAAAAAAGGGGAGAAAGGAGGAGAAAAAAGAGAGAAAGGAGGAGAAAAAAGAGGGAAAGGAGGAGAAAAAAGAGAGAAAGGAGGAGAAAAAAGGGAAGAAAGGAGGAGAAAAAGGGAGAAAGGAGGGCCCTCCCCGACCGTGTGCCCCCATTTTTGGGGCCCCCCCCGACCGTGTGCCCCCATTTTTGGGGCCCCCCCCGACCGTGTGCCCCCATTTTTGGGGCCCTCCCCGACCGTGTGCCCCCATTTTTGGGGCCCCCCCCGACCGTGTGCCCCCCATTTTTGGGGCCCTCCCCGACCGTGTTTCCCCCATTTTTTGGGGCCCCCCCAGCTCCATGTCGGACTCGATGATCATGGACAGCATCGCCTCCTACCTGGTGCTGCCCAACCGGCTCCTGGTGCCGCTGCTGCCCGACCTGCCCGAGGCCGCGCGGCTGCGCTGGCCCCTGCCCCGGGTGAGGGGGTCAGGGGGCTCGGGGGGGTCGTGGCACCCCCGTTTTACCTTTCTGATACCCCCCGTTTTATCTTTCTGACCCTTCCCATTGTCCCTTTCTGACACCCCCAAGGCTGCGCTGGCCCCTGCCCCGGGTGAGGGGGTCAGGGGGCTCGGGGGGGGGTCGTGGCACCCCCGTTTTCCCCTTCCGACCCTCATTTTCCATTCTCATTTTCTGACCTCCCCATTTGCCTCATTTTACCCTTTGGACCCCCCCCCCCCCAATTCTCCCATTTTCCCCTTTGGACCCCCCCATTTTCACCTCCTGACCCCCCCCCCCACACACATTTGCCCCTTGTGACACCCCTCAAATTCAATCCTTTTAACCCCCCCCCCCATTTTCTCCTTCTGACCGCCCACAATTCTCCCGTTTTTCCTCTCTGACCCCCTCCCCATTTCCCCTTTGGACACCCCCATTTTCCCTTTCTGACTCCCCCAAATTTAACCCTTTTAACCCTCCCCATTTTCCCCTCTGACCCCCCCCTATTATCTCTTTCTGATCCCCCCATTTTCCTCTTCCTCCCTCCGGCTGGCGGCTGGGTGTCCCTGCCCGCTCCCAGTGTCCCCTCGGTGTCCCCAATGTCCCCTCACTGTCCCCAGGGCGCGGTGCGGGTGTCCCTGCTGACCATGTCCCCTCCATGGTGACCCTGATGTCCCCAATGTCCCCTCACTGTCCCCAGTGTCCCCGCTGTCCCCAGGGCGTGGTGCAGGTGTCCCTGGTGACCCTGCTGTCCCCAATGTCCCCAGGGCGTGGTGCGGGTGTCCCTGGTGGCTGTGTGTCCCCATGGTGACCCTGCTGTCCCCAATGTCCCCAGGGCGCGGTGCGGGTGTCCCTGGTGGCTGTGTGTCCCCATGGTGACCCTGCTGTCCCCAATGTCCCCAGGGCGCGGTGCGGGTGTCCCTGGTGGCTGTGTGTCCCCATGGTGACCCTGCTGTCCCCAATGTCCCCTCGGTGTCCCCAGGGCGTGGTGCGGGTGTCCCTGGTGGCCGCGCGCGCGCTCCGCTCCAAGGATCGCTTCCTGGGCGGGCTCGTCCAGGGCCGCTCGGACCCGTACGCGCTGCTCAGGGTGGGGACACAGGCGGCGACGAGCAGGGTGATCGGGGACAGCCTGGAGCCCGAGTGGGACGAGATGTACGAGGTGAGGGGGACAGGGGGACACGGGGATGGACAGAGGGACACGGGGATGGACAGAGGGACACGGGGATGGACAGGGGGACACAGGGAGGGACACAGGCGGCGACCAGCAGGGTGATCGGGGACAGCCTGGAGCCCGAGTGGGACAAGATGTACGAGGTGAGAGGGACAGGGGGACACGGGGATGGACAGGGGGACACGGGAATGGACAGAGGGACACAGGAACAGACACAGGCGGCGACCAGCAGGGTGATCGGGGACAGCCTGGACCCTGTCTGGGATGAGATGTACGAGGTGAGCATGGACAGACAGACACAGGGATGGACAGAGGGACACGGGAATGGACAGGGGGACAGAGGGATGGACAGAGGGACACGGGGATGGACAGGGGGACACAGGGATGGACAGAGGGACACGGGAATGGACAGGGGGACAGAGGGATGGACAGAGGGACACGGGGATGGACAGGGGGACACAGGGATGGACAGGGGGACAGAGGGATGGACAGGGGGACACAGGAACAGACACAGGCGGTGACCAGCAGGGTGATTGGGGACAGCCTGGAGCCCGTGTGGGACGAGATGTACGAGGTGAGCATGGACAGACAGGGGGACAGACAGACACAGACAGACAGAGGGACACGGGGATGGACAGGGGGACACAGGGATGGACACAGGCAGCGACCAGCAGGGTCACTGGGGACAGCCTGGAGCCCGAGTGGGACGAGATGTACGAGGTGAGGGGGACAGACAGATGGACAGACGGACAGACAGGGGGATGGAGGGATGGACAGAGGGACACAGGGAGGGACAGCAGCAGGGTCATCGGGGACAGCCTGGAGCCTGTCTGGGACAAGGTGTACGAGGTGAGGACACACGGACGGGGGGACGGACAGACAGAAGGACACAGGGATGGGCGGAGGGACAGATGGAAGGATGGACACTGGGGATGGACATCAGGGACGGACAGAAGGGAGGGACAGAGGGATGGATGATGGATGGATGATGGATGGATGGATGGATGGATGATGGATGGATGGATGGATGATGGATGGATGGATGGATGCAGGGATGGAGGGATGGATGATGGATGGATGGATGGATGGATGGATGCAGGGATGGAGGGATGGATGGATGGATGGATGGATGATGGATGGATGGATGGATGGATGATGGATGGATGGATGGATGCAGGGATGGAGGGATGGATGATGGATGGATGGATGGATGGATGGATGCAGGGATGGAGGGATGGATGGATGGATGGATGGATGATGGATGGATGGATGATGGATGGATGGATGGATGGATGGATGATGGATGGATGGATGATGGATGGATGATGGATGGATGGATGGATGGATGGATGATGGATGGATGGATGGATGGATGGATGGATGATGGATGGATGATGGATGGATGATGGATGGATGGATGGATGGATGCAGGGATGGATGGATGGATGGATGGATGATGGATGGATGGATGATGGATGGATGGATGATGGATGGATGGAGGGATGGATGGATGGATGATGGATGGATGGATGATGGATGGATGATGGATGGATGGAGGATGGATGGATGCAGGGATGGATGGAGGGATGGATGATGGATGGATGATGGATGGATGGAGGATGGATGGATGCAGGGATGGATGGAGGGATGGATGATGGATGGAGGGATGGATGGATGGATGGATGGATGGATGATGGATGGATGGAGGGATGGATGGATGCAGGGATGATGGAGGGATGGGATGGATGGATGATGGATGGATGGATGATGGATGATGGATGATGGATGGATGGGATGATGGATGGATGGATGGATGGATGGATGATGGATGGATGGAGGATGGATGGATGGATGCAGGGATGGATGGAGGATGGATGGATGGATGCAGGGATGGATGGAGGATGGATGGACAGTGGGGACAGACAGAGGGATGGACAGGGGGATGGACAGTGGGGATGGAGGGACGGACAGAGAGATGGATGGTGGGAGGGTGGGGCTGGACAGAGGGACAGACAGGGATGGACAGAGGGATGGACAGGGGGATGGACAGTGGGGATGGAGGGACGGACAGAGAGATGGATGGTGGGATGGACAGAGGGACAGAGGAATGGACACCGGCCATGCAGGGATGGACAGTGGGGATGGAGGCGTGGACGGTGAGGATGGACAGAGGGCCAGGAATGGACAGAGGGACAGAGGGACGGACACGGGGACCCCCCAGGGGGTTTTGGGGACAGGGCCATGGGGGGCGCACGGGACCCCCCCAGTCCCCGCTGTGCCCCCAGTTCATGGTGCACGAGGTGCCGGGGCAGGAGCTGGAGGTGGAGCTCTATGACAAAGACCCCGACAAGGACGATCTGCTGGGCAGGTGAGGGGGGGGGCGTGCACCCAAAACTGGGGAGGGGTCTCCATCCCCCTCCCCAAATCCCCAAAAAACCCCAAACCCCCAAATTCCCAAATCTCTAAATCGCCAAATTTCCAAATCCCCAAATTCCCAAACCCCTGATCCCCAAACCTCTAAAACCCCCAAATTCCCAAATTCCCCAACTCCCAAACCCCCCAAATCCCCAAAAACTCCAAATTTCCAAATCCCCAAATCCCCCAATCCCCCAATCTCCAAACTCCCAAATCCCCAAATTTCCAAGCCCCAAATCCCCAAACCTCTAAAACCCCCAAACCCCCAAATTCCCAAACTCCCAAATTCCCCAACTCCCAAACCCCCAAAATCCCCCATTTCCCAAATCTCTGAATTCCAAATCCCCAAAAATCCCCACACCCCCAAATCCCCAAAAACCCCAAATCCCCAAATTTCCAAATCCCCGAAATCCCCAAACCCCCAAATTCCCAAAAACCCCAAATCCCCAAAAACCCCAAATCCCCAAATCCCCGAAATCCCCAAACCCCCAAATCTCTAAATCCCAAATTTCCAAATCCCCAAATTCCCAAATCCCCCAATCTCCAAACTCCCAAATCCTCAAATTTCCAAACCCCAAATCCCCAAACCCCCAAACCCTCAAATCCCCAAAATCCCCAAAAATTCCGAAAAAATTCCCAAATTTCCCCTCCCAGGATGAAGCTGGACCTCGGGGAGGTGCTCAGAGCTCGGGTGATGGACGAGGTGAGTTCTGGGGGATTTGGGATTTTTGGGGATTTTTGGGGATTTGGGGTTTTGGGAATTTGGGGGTTTGAGATTTGGAAATTTGGGAATTTGGGGATCTGGGAATTTTGGGGGATTTGGAAATTCGGAGATTTGGGGGCGGAAATTTGGGGATTTGGGAATTTGGGGGTTTGGGGGCTTGGGGATTTGGAGATTTGGGGGTTTGGAGATTTGGAAATTTGAGGATTTGGGAATTTGGGGATCTGGGAATTTTGGGGGATTTGGAAAATCGGAGATTTGGGGGTGAAAATTTGGGGATTTGGAGATTTGGGGATTTGGGGATTTTGGAGATGAGGGGATTGGGGGATTTGGGGTTTTGGTGTTCGGGGGGGCGTCACACTGACGCCCCCTCCCCATTTTCCCCATTATTTTCCCCATTATTTTCCCCACTGTTTTCCCCATTATTTTCTCATTATTTTCCCCACTGTTTTCCCCACTATTTTCCCCATTATTTTCCCCATTATTTTCTCATTATTTTCCCCATTATTTTCCCCATTATTTCTGCATTTTCCCCATTTTTTTCCCCACTATTTTCCCCATTATTTTTCCCTTATTTCCCCATTATTCCATTATTTCCCCCATTATTTTCCCCATTATTTTTCCCGTTTTTCCCATTATTTTCCCCATTATTTCCCCCATTATTTCCCCATTATTTTTCCCCATTTCCCGATTATTTCCCCCATTATTTCCCCATTATTTTCCCCACTTTCCCCATTTCCCCATTATTTCCCCATTATTTCCCATCCCCACTTTTCCCATTATTTTCCCCATTATTTCCCCATTATTTTTCCCCATTTCCCGATTATTTCCCCGATTATTTCCCTAATTATTTCCCCATTATTTTCCCCGCTTTCCCCATTATTTTCCCCATTATTTTCCCCATTATTTTCCCATTATTTTCCCCATTATTTTTCCCATTATTTCCCCATTATTTTCCCCATTATTTTTCCATTATTTCCCCCATTATTTTCCCATTTTTTCCCCATTATTTTCCCCATTATTTTCCCCATTATTTTTCCCCATTATTTCCCAATTATTTTCTCATTTTTTTCCCCATTATTTTCCCCACTATTTTTCCCATTATTTCCCCCACTTTTCCCATTATTTCCCCATTATTTTCCCCATTTTCCCCATTATTTTCCCCATTATTTCCCCATTATTTCCCCCACTTTTCCCATTATTTCCCCATTATTTTCCCCATTTTCCCCATTATTTTCCCCATTATTTTTCCCTCCCCAGTGGTTCCCGCTGCAGGACGGGGGCCAGGGCCGGCTCCACCTGCGCCTGGAATGGCTCTCGCTGCTCTCCGACGCCTCCAAGCTGGACCAGGTCAATCCCGGGACAATTTTTGGGGTCCATCTTTATTGGGGAGGGGGGGGGTGGGGGGTCCTGCCCTTATCTGACCCCTCCCCAAATTTTTGCCCATTATTTTGCCAATTATTTTCCCCATTATTTTTCCCATTATTTCCCCATTATTCCCATTATTTTCCCCATTATTTTCCCCATTATTTTCCCCATTCTTTCCTCAGGTTTTGGAAAAGAACCAAAAAATCGTGGCCAAACCCCATTGTCCCCATCATTTCCCCCATTATTTCCCCCATTATTTCCCCCATTATTTCCCCCATTATTTTCCCCATTATTTCCCCCATTATTTTCCCCATTTTCCCCATTATTCCCATTATTTCCCCCATTATTTTCCCCATTATTCCCATTATTTCCCCCATTATTTCCCCATTTTCCCATTATTTTCCCCATTATTTTCCCCATTATTTTTCCCCTTATTTCCCCATTATTTCCCCCATTATTTCCATTATTTTCCCCATTATTCCCATTATTTTCCCCATTATTTTTCCCCTTATTTCCCCATTTTCCCCATTATTTTCCCAATTATTCCCATTATTTTCCCCATTATTTCCCCCATTATTTCCCCATTATTTCCCCCATTATTTCCATTATTTCCCCCATTATTTCCCCGCCCCATTATTTCCCCATTATTTCCTTATTATTTCCCCCATTATTCCCATTATTTTCCCCATTATTCCCATTATTTCCACCATTATTTCCCCCATTATTTCCCCCATTATTTCCCCCATTATTCCCATTATTTCCCCCATTATTCCATTATTTCCCCCATTATTTCCCCCATTATTTCCCCCATTATTTCCATTATTTCCCCCATTATTCCCATTATTTCCCCCATTATATCCCCCATTATTCCCATTATTTCCCCCATTATTTCCCCCATTATTTCCTCAGGTTTTGGAAAAGAACCAAAAAATCGTGGCCAAACCCCATTGTCCCCATTATTTCCCCCATTATTTCCCCCATTATTTCCCCCATTATTTCCATTATTTCCCCCATTATTCCCATTATTTCCCCCATTATTTCCATTATTTCCCCCATTATTTCCCCATTTTCCCCATTATTTTCCCCATTATTCCCATTATTTCCCCCATTATTTTCCCCATTATTCCCATTATTTCCCCCATTATTTCCCCATTTTCCCATTATTTTTCCCATTATTTTCCCCATTATTTTTCCCCTTATTTCCCCATTATTTCCCCCCATTATTTCCATTATTTTCCCATTATTCCCATTATTTTCCCCATTATTTTTCCCCTTATTTCCCCATTTTCCCCATTATTTTCCCAATTATTCCCATTATTTTCCCCATTATTTCCCCATTATTTCCCCATTATTTCCCCCATTATTTCCATTATTTCCCCCATTATTTCCTTATTATTTCCCCCATTATTTTCCCAATTATTCCCATTATTTCCCCCATTATTTCCCCCATTATTTCCCCCATTATTCCCATTATTCCCCCCATTATTTCCCCCATTATTTCCCCCATTATTTCCCCCATTATTTCCCCATTATTTCCCCCATTATTCCCATTATTTCCCCCATTATTCCCCCCATTATTTCCCCCATTATTTCCCCCATTATTTCCCCCATTATTTCCATCATTTCCCCCATTATTCCCATTATTTACCCCATTATTTCCCCCATTATTCCCATTATTTCCCCCATTATTTCCCCCATTATTTCCCCCATTATTTCCTCAGGTTTTGGAAAAGAACCAAAAAATCGTGGCCAAACCCCATTGTCCCCATTATTTCCCCCATTATTTCCCCCATTATTTCCCCCATTATTCCCATTATTTCCCCCATTATTTCCCCCATTATTTCCCCCATTATTTCCATCATTTCCCCCATTATTCCCATTATTTCCCCCATTATTTCCCCCATTATTCCCATTATTTTCCCCATTATTCCCCATTATTTTCCCCATTATTTTTCCCCTTATTTCCCCATTTTCCCCCATTATTTTCCCAATTATTCCCATTATTTCCCCCATTATTTCCCCCATTATTTCCCCATTATTTCCCCCATTATTCCCATTATTTCCCCCATTATTTCCCCCCATTATTTCCCCATTATTTCCCCATTATTCCCATTATTTCCCCCATTATTTCCCCCATTATTTCCTCAGGTTTTGGAAAAGAACCAAAAAATCGTGGCCAAGCCCGATCCCCCGTCCTCTGCCATCCTCGTGGTGTATCTGGACAGGGCTGAGGGGCTGCCCGTGAGTCTGGGGGCGTTTGGGGGGGTCTGGGGGCGTTTTGGGGGGATTTTGGTGTTTTTGGGGTGTCCCGGGGGGGTCAGAAATGGGGGACCCCTCCCTTGACCCCCCGTTTTTGGTGCAGGTAAGAAAAGCAGGCAAGGAGCCCAACCCCGTGGTGCAGGTGTCGGTGCAGGACGTGACCAGGGAGAGCAAGGTGGGGCTGGGGGTTTTGGGGGGATTTTTGGGGGTTTTTGGGGGTTTTGGGGTTTTTGGGGTTTTGGAGGTTTTGGGGGGATTTGGGTGTTTTGGGGGGTTTTGGTGATTTGGGGGTTTTTAGGGGTTTGGGTAGTTTTTTGAGGGTTTTGGGGTTTTGGGGGTTTTTGGGGTTTTTTAGGGTTTTGGGGTTTTTGGGGTTTTGGAGGTTTTGGGGGGATTTGGGTGTTTTGGGGGGGTTGGGTGATTTGGGGGTTTGTGGGGTTTTTAGGGGTTTGGGTAGTTTTTGAGGTTTTGGGGTTTTTTTGGGGATTTTTGGGGGTTTTGGGGTTTTTGGGGTTTTTGTGGTATTGGGTGTTTTGGGGGTTTGTGGTGGGTTTTTAGGGGTTTGGGTAGTTTTTTGAGGGTTTTGGTGGTTTTGGGGGTTTTTTGGATTTTTGGGGTTTTTGGGGTTTTGGGGGTTTTTGTGGTATTGGGGATTTGGGGGTTTGTGGGGGTTTTTAGGGGTTTGGGTAGTTTTTGAAGGTTTTGGTGGGTTTTTGGGGTTTTTTTGGGGTTTGGCGGTTTGGGGTTTTTTTGGGGGTTTTTGGGGATTTGGGGGTTTTTCGGGGTTTTGGGGGGATTTGAGGGGATTTTGGAGGATTTGGAGCTGGGATTTTGAGGGGATTTAGGGGTTTTGGGGGGATTTGGGAGGATCTGGGGGATTTGAGGTGATTTGGGGGGTTTTTGGGGGGTCTGACCTGAGCCCCCCCACCCCCCAAAGGTGGTCTGCAACACCTCAGCCCCCGTGTGGGAGGACGCTTTCCGCTTCTTCCTGCACGACCCCCGCAACCAGGACGTGGATTTCCAGGTGGGACCCCAAAACCTGGCTCTGTGTCACCCCCCAGATCCCCCCAAAATCCTGGGTCTGTGTCCCCCCAGAACACCCCAAATCTCCCCAAAATCCTGGGTCTGTGTCCCCCCAAATCCCCCCAAAACCCCGGCTCTGTCACCCCAAATCCCCCAAAACCTGGCTCTGTGTCCCCCCAGATCCCCCAAAACCCACCAAAATACTCCCAAATCCCCCCAAAACCCAGCTCTGTGTCCCCCCCCAAATCCCCCCAAACCCCAGCTCTGTCATCCCAAATCCCCCCAAAACCCAGCTCTGTGTCACCCCCCAGATCCCCCCAAAACCCACCAAAATACTCCCAAATCCCCCCAAAACCTGCTCTGTGTCACCCCCCCAAATCCCCCCAAAACCCACCAAAATACTCCCAAATCCCCCCAAAACCTGCTCTGTGTCACCCCCCAAATCCCCCCAAAACCCCAGCTCTGTCACCCCAAATCCCCCGCAAAATCCTGGGTCTGTGTCCCCCCCAAATCCCCCCAAAACCCCGGCTCTGTCACCCCAAATCCCCTGCAAAATCCTGGTTCTGTGTCACCCCAGATCCCCCCAAATCCCCCCAAAACCCACCAAAATACTCCCAAATCCCCCCAAAACCCGGCTCTGTGTCACCCCCCAAATCCCCCCAAAATCCTGGCTCTGTCACCCCCAAATCTCCCCAAAATCCTGGGTCTGTGTCACCCTCCAAATCCCCCCAAAACCCACCAAAATACTCCCAAATCCCCCCAAAACCCCGGCTCTGTCACCCCAAATCCCCCCAAAATCCTGGTTCTGTGTCCCCCCAGATCCCCCAAATCCCCCCAAAACCCGGCTCTGTCACCCCAAATCTCCCCAAAATCCTGGCTCTGTGTCCCCCCAAATCCCCCCAAAACCCGCTCTGTGTCACCCCCCCAGATCCTCCCAAATCCATCAGAATTCCCCCCCTTTCCCTCTCTTTTTTCCCCCGATTTCCCGCCCCCATTTCCCCTCCTCTTTTCCCCCTCTCCTTTCTCCTTTTCCTCCCCATTTCCCCCTTTTTTCCCTCTCTCCTTTTGCCCCATTTTTCCCCCCTTCCCTCCATTTCCCTCCCTTTTTCCCTCTTTTTTTCCTCTCCTTTTCCCTCTCTTTCCCCTCCCTTTTCCTCCCCTCCTTTTTCCCCCATTTTCACCCCCTTTTTCTCCTCTTCCCCCCCTTTTCTCCCCTTCTCCCCATCTTCCCCCTCTTTTTTTCCCCCTTTTCCCCACTTTTCCCCCACCTTTTCCCCCCCAATTTCCCTCCCTTTTCCTCTTCTCCTTTTCCCCTATTTCACTCCCCATCTTTCCCCCATTTTCCCTCCAATTTCCCTCCCATTTTTTCCCTTTTTCCCCCCCTTCACTTCCGTTTTTTCCTCCTTCCCCCCCCTTTTTCTCCCCATTCCTCCCTTCTTTTCCCCCCATTTCCCTCCCTTTCCCTCCCTTTTTTCTCCTCCTTTTCCCCTCCATTTTTCCCCCATTTCCCCCTCATTTTTCCCCACCTCTTTTCCCTCTTTCCCCCTTTTCCTCCCAATTTCCCTCCTTTTTTCTCTCATTTTCCCCTTTTTCCCCCACCATTTTTTCCCCTTTTTTCCTCATTTTCACGCCCTTCCCCCCCCATGTTCCCCCTTTATTCCCCTCCTTTTTTTCCACCTCTTTTCCCTCTTCCCCCTCTTTTTTCCCCTCATTTTTCCCCTTTTTCTCTCCCTTTTTACCCCCGTCATCCCCCCATTCCCCCCGTTTTCCCCCATTTCCTCCCATTTTCACCCCCATTTTTCCCCGCAGCTTTTCCCCCCATTTTCCCCTTTTCATCCCCTTTTCTGCCCCCAATTTCCCCCCCTTTTTTCCACTATCTTTCCCCCCCCAGTTTCCCTCCCTTTTTTCTCCTTTCCCTCCATTCCCCCCCCCCGTTTTCCCCATTTCCTCCCATTTTCACCCCCATTTTCCCCCCCATTTTCCCCCATTTTCCCCCCCATTTTCCCCTTTTCTGCCCCAAATTTCCCCCCCTTTTTTCCACCATCTTTCCCCCCGTTTCCCTCCCTTTTTTTCTCCTCCTTTCCCCATTCCCCCCCCAAGTTTTCCCCCATTTCCTCCCATTTTCACCCCCCATTTCTCCCCCTTTTTCCCCTCTTTTTCCCCCCATTTTCACCCCCCATTTTCCCCTTTTCACCCAATTTTCTGCCCCCAAATTTCCCCCCCTTTTTTCTCCTCCTTTCCCCCCATTCCCCCCCCTTTTCCCCCATTTCCTCCCATTTTTTCCCCCCCATTTTCCCCCGCAGCTTTTCCCCCCCTTTTCACCCCCATTTTCCCCTTTTCACCCCCTTTTTCACCCCCCATTTCTGCCCCAAATTTCCCCCCTTTTTTCCACCATCTTTCCCCCCCAATTTCCCTCCCTTTCTTCTCCTCCTTTCCCCCCATTCCCCCCACCAAGTTTTCCCCCATTTCCTCCCATTTTCACCCCCATTTTCCCCCTTTTTTCCTCTCTTTTTCCCCCCATTTTCACCCCCATTTTCCCCTCCCCCCCCTTTTTCACCCCCCTTTTCTGCCCCTAATTCCCCCCCTTTTTTCCACCATCTTTCCCCCCCAGTTTCCCTCCCTTTTTTCTCCTCCTTTCCCCCATTCCACCCCCCTTTTCCCCCCAATTTTCCCCCCTTTTTTCCCCCCCAATTTCCCCCCAAATGTCCCCCCCAAATGTCCCCCCGTGTCCCCCCAGGTGAAGGACGACCCCCGGCAGTCCCCGCTGGGCTCTCTGTCGCTGCCTCTGTCGCGATTGCTGCAGTCGCCGTCGCTGTCGCTGTCGGGGCCGTTCCCGCTGCAGCGCTCGGGGCCGGGGGCGCTGCTGCACCTGCAGATGGAGCTCGGGTGACCGGCGGGGTTTTTTTGGGTTTTTGGGGGGTTTTGGGGTTTGTTTTGGGGTTTGGGGATTTTTTGGGGTTTTGGAGGTTTGGGGGAGTTCGGGGGGTTTGGGGTTTTTGGGTTTTTTGGGGGGTTTTGGGGGTTTTTGGGCTCCGGGTGAGGGAGGGGGCTCCGGGGGGGTTTTGGAGGAGGTTTGGGAGTTTTGGGGGGTTTTGAGGGTATTTGGGGGCTCCGGGGGGGTCCCCGGGGGGTTTTTGGGGTCCCTCTGACCCTCACCCCCCCCCAGGTGCTGTTCCCGGAGCCCCCCCGAGCCCGGCGCGGCCGCCCCCGGCGCAGGCGGAGCCCCCCAAAAGCGACACCGAGGGAGCCCCCCCCAGACCGAGCCAGGCCGGGCCCGACCCCCGCGCCGGCACCGAGGTGGGGAGGGGGGCCTGGGGGGGGTCCTGGGGGGGTTCTGGGGGGGTCTTAGGGGGGTTCTGGGGGTCCTGGGGGGGTTATGGGGGTCTTAGGGGGGTTCTGGGGGTGAGAATGGGGGTCCTGGGGGGGTTCTGGGGGGGTCTTAGGGGGGTTCTGGGGGTCCTGGGCAGGGTTATGGGGGTAAGAATCGGGGTCCTGGGGGGTCCTGGGGGGTTCTGGGGGTGAGAATGGGGGTCCTGGGGGGTTATTGGGGGGGGGTCTTAGGGGGGTTCTGGGGGTCCTGGGTGGGTTCTGGGGGTAAGAATGGGGGTCCTGGGGGTGTCTTGGGGGGTTCTGGGGGTAAGAATGGGGGTCTGGGGGGTCTTGGGGCGGTTCTGGGGGTAAGAATGGGGGTCCTGGGGGGTCTTGGGGGGTTCTGGGGGTAAGAATGGCGATTCTGGGAGGTCCTGAAGGTGAGGATGGGGGTCAGAGATTTTGGGGAGGGGTCCCGGGGAGTCCTGGGAGTGTCTTGGGTGGTCCTGGGGGGGGTCCCGGTGGTCCCGGGGCTGTCCGGGGGGATTCAGGGCTGTCCGTGGGTCTGTCCGGGGCTGTGTCCGTGGTGTCTGTCCGGTCATTTCCCGTTCTCCCCGGTTCCCAGCGGGTGCTGCGGGTGCACCTCCTGGAGGCCGAGGCCCTCATGGCCCAGCACCAGCGGCTCGGGGGTGGGGTCCCGGTGCTCCCGGTGATCCCGGTGATTCCGGGGGGATTCAGGGCTGTCCGTGAGGGGTTCAGGGCTGTGTCCGTGGGTCTGTCCGGTCCGTCGGTCCCCTCACCTCCCGTTGTCCCGGTTCCCAGCGGGTGCTGCGGGTGCATCTCCTCGAGGCCGAGGCCCTCATGGCCCAGCACCAGCGGCTCGGGGGTGGGGTCCCGGTGCTCCCGGTGCCCCGGGGGGGTTCAGGGCTGTCCGTGAGGGGTTCGGGGCTGTGTCCGTGGGTCTGTCCGGTCACCTCCCGTTCTCCCCGGTTCCCAGCGGGTGCACCTCCTCGAGGCCGAGGCCCTCATAGCCAAGGACCAGCGGCTCGGGGGCCCCGGTGTCCCGGGGGGGTTCAGGGCTGTCCGTGAGGGGTTCGGGGCTGTGTCCGTGAGGGGTTCGGGGCTGTGTCCGTGGGTCTGTCCGGGGCTGTGTCCGTGGGTCTGTCCGGTCATTTCCCGTTCTCCCCGGTTCCCAGCAGGTGCTGCGGGTGCACCTCCTCGAGGCCGAGGCCCTCATAGCCAAGGACCAGCGGCTCGGGGGCCCCGGTGTCCCGGGGGGGTTCAGGGCTGTCCGTGAGGGGTTCGGGGCTGTGTCCGTGGGTCTGTCCGGGGCTGTGTCCGTGGGTCTGTGCGGTCATTTCCCATTCCCGGTTCCCAGCGGGTGCTGCGGGTGCATCTCCTCGAGGCCGAGGCCCTCATAGCCAAGGACCAGCGGCTCAGGGGCCCCGGTGTCCCGGGGGGGTTCAGGGCTGTCCGTGAGGGGTTCGGGGCTGTGTCCGTGAGGGGGTTCGGGGCTGTGTCCGTGGGTCTGTCCGGGGCTGTGTCCGTGGGTCTGTCCGGTCATTTCCCGTTCTCCCCGGTTCCCAGCAGGTGCTGCGGGTGCACCTCCTCGAGGCCGAGGCCCTCATAGCCAAGGACCAGCGGCTCGGGGGCCCCGGTGTCCCGGGGGGGTTCAGGGCTGTCCGTGAGGGGTTCGGGGCTGTGTCCGTGGGTCTGTCCGGGGCTGTGTCCGTGGGTCTGTGCGGTCATTTCCCATTCCCGGTTCCCAGCGGGTGCTGCGGGTGCATCTCCTCGAGGCCGAGGCCCTCATAGCCAAGGACCAGCGGCTCAGGGGCCCCGGTGTCCCGGGGGGGTTCAGGGCTGTCCGTGAGGGGTTCGGGGCTGTGTCCGTGAGGGGTTCGGGGCTGTGTCCGTGGGTCTGTCCGGTCACCTCCCGTTCTCCCCGGTTCCCAGCGGGTGCTGCGGGTGCACCTCCTCGAGGCCGAGGCCCTCATGGCCCAGCACCAGCGGCTCGGGGAGTCCCGGTGCTCCCGGTGCCCCGGGGGGGTTCAGGGCTGTCCGGTGAGGGGTTCGGGGCTGTGTCCATGGGTCTGTCCGGGGCTGTGTCCGTGGGTCTGTCCGGTCACCTCCCGTTCTCCCCGGTTCCCAGCGGGTGCTGCGGGTGCACCTCCTCGAGGCCGAGGCCCTCATAGCCAAGGACCAGCGGCTCGGGGGCCTCGTCCGCGGCCGCTCCGATCCCTACGCCCAGGTGCGCGCGGGCGGGAGCCGCTTCCGCAGCCGCGTGATAAAGGAGGAGCTGAACCCGCGCTGGAACGAGATTTACGAGGTAAACTGAGGCACAGGACAGGGGAAACTGAGGCACGGCACCGGGACAGGGGAAACTGAGGCACGGCACAGGGAAACTGGGGGGGAAACTGAGGCACGGGACAGGGGAAACTGAGGCACGGCACCGGGAAATTGAGGCATGGCACCCAGGGGGAAACTGGGGGAAACTGAGGCACAGAACCGGGAAACTGGGGAGAAACTGAGGCACGGCACCGGGACAGGGGAAACTGAGGCACGGCACACAGGGAAACTGAGGCACGGCACAGGGAAACTGAGGGAAACTGAGGGGAAAGGGAAACTGAGGCACGGGGAAACTGAGGCATGGCAGAAGAAACTGAGGGATAGCACGGGAGAAATTGAGAGAAAAGGGAAACTGAGGCACGGCACCAGGGGGGAAACTGAGGCATGGAGAGCTCAGGGGGTTCTGGAAGGGAAACTGAGGCACGGGACAGGGAAACTGAGCCACGGGGAAACTGAGGCACGGAGGACTATGGGGGGTCCTGGAAGGGAAACTGAGGCACGGCAGGGTAGAGAAATGTGGATTGAGGTTGAGGTTGGATCCAAGAACTGATGGACCACAAGGATATTTTGGGATATCAGGAGATAACGGAGAGATGGCCAAGAGGGGTTATTATTATTAATATTACTATTACTATTATTATTATTATTATTATTATTATTATTATTATTATTGTTGTCATCATCATTATCATTATTGTCATCATTATTAATATTATTTTATTTTAATTGTCATTTTTATTTTTATTTTCAATTTACTTAATTTTATTTATTTTAATTTTTATTTATTTTAAATTTTATTTATTTTAATTATTATTTATTTTTAAAATTAATTTCTTTTCATTTCCTAATTTTATTTTTATTTCTTCATTTTATTTTTATTTTCAATTTATTTCATTTTATTTTTATTTTCAATTTCGGGGTGTTTTTTTTTTTTTAAATTTTTTACTGTAACCATTATTAAAATTTCATTATTATTCACATGCAATGCATTCTATGAACACGCATCAACCCATCCCAGATACACCCATCAACATCAAACAACTAAACGCTGAATATTAAAATTAAATTTTTAATTTTTAAATTATAATTTTTTATATTTATTAATTAACATAATTAAATACCACTTGTTAACCCTTCAACACCCCAATACTGCCATCAATAATTTGAATTTTGCTCCCCCAGGTGATCGTGGACGATGTCCCCGGGCAGGACGTGGAGTTCGATCTCTTTGACAAAGACATCGACAAGGACGATTTCCTGGGCAGGTGGGGGAATTGGGGGGTTTGAAAAGGGGTTGGGGGAATATTTGGGGGTCTGGGGGGGATTTTGGGGAATATTTGGGGGGGGTGTGGAAGGAATTCGGAGTTGGGGTTTTGAGGGGGGTTTTTGGGGGTCTGGAACGGGATTTGGGGGAATTTTTGGGGGTCTGGGGGGGATTTTTGGGGAATATTTGGGGGGCGTGGAAGGAATTCGGGAGGTTTTTGAGGGGGTTTTGGGGGTCTGGAACGGGATTTGGGGGAATTTTTGGGGGTCTGGGGGGAATTTTGGGGAATATTTGGGGGGCGTGGAAGGAATTCGGGAGGCTCTGAGGGGTTTTGAGGGGGATTTGGGGGGTCCAGACGGGATTTGGGGGAATTTTTGGGGGTCTGGAGGGGATTTTGGGGAATATTTGGGGGGCGTGGAAGGAATTCGGGAGGCTCTGAGGGGTTTTGGGGGGGGTCCAGACGGGATTTGGGGGAATTTTTGGGGGTCTGGGGGGGATTTTGGGAATATTTGGGGGGCGTGGAAGGGATTTGGGAGGCTCTGAGGGGTTTTGAGGGGGATTTGGGGGGTCCAGACGGGATTTGGGGGAATATTTGGGGGTCTGGGGGGGATTTTGGGGAATATTTGGGGGGTGTGGAAGGAATTCGGGAGGTTTTTGAGGGAGTTTTGGGGGTCTGGAACGGGATTTGGGGGAATTTTTGGGGGTCTGGGGGGGATTTTGGGGAATATTTGGGGGGCGTGGAAGGAATTCGGGAGGCTCTGAGGGGTTTTGAGGGGGATTTGGGGGGTCCAGACGGGATTTGGGGGAATTTTTGGGGGTCTGGAGGGATTTTGGGGAATTTTTGGGGGTCTGGGGGGGATTTTTGGGGGAATTTTGGGGGTCTGGAGGGATTTTGGGGAATATTTGGGGGGCGTGGAAGGGATTCGGGAGGCTCTGAGGGGTTTTGGGGGGTCCAGACGGGATTTGGGGGAATTTTGGGGGTCTGGAGGGGATTTTGGGGAATATTTGGGGGGCGTGGAAGGAATTCGGGAGGTTTTTGAGGGGGTTTTGGGGGTCTGGAATGGGATTTGGGGAATTTTTGGGGGGTCTGGAGGGGGATTTTGGGGGCAATTTTGGGAGATCTGGAGGAATTTTTGGGGTTTTTGTGGGGAGGTTTTGGGGGATTTTCTGGATTTTGGAGATTTTGGGA